AAAGAAAAAACAAACCAACAGTAACCAGCAGGGAGGAGGGTGGCTGGTAATGGGAAAAAGGAGGTGCTCAAGTCAAGGAACATGTATAAAAGACCCTGGAAAATGCCAAAATGTGAAAGGATTGAGGGTAGAAGGTGGGGGTGGTGGGACAGCAGAATATGGTGGTGGGAAAATGGAGTCAAATGTATTTGAACAATAAAGAAAAATAATTTATTTCAATAAACAAAGCATCAGGGAGTTGTTGGAGCAAGAGTGGGAAAGGAAGGGCATTTCTAGTTGACGGACCAGCACATGCAAAAGAGACAACCTACAGTTATGTAGCACTTTCAGGGGACAATGAAGAATTTGCATGGTGCATAAAGAGTGTGTAGGCTTGTTATGAGAGATTAATCAGGAAAGGCAGCCTGGGGTCGGATTCCTGAGGGCCTTAAATTCCCTGGAGCTTGGAATGTTTCATAAGATAGGACTTCATTTCACATGGCAGTGGTGTGGTAAAGCTCTCAGTAGAAATCATAAAGTGCTATCTATAACTCTACCAATGACTAGCTGTGAACTTGGGCAAATCTCCTAACCTCTCTGGACTTCAGTTTCCTTAACCTGAAAATGAAGATAATCATCTTATTCAAAAGGTTTATTATTGATCAAAGGAAAGGGGAGTGTGGCAGACACTGTGGGCTGAATAACTCAACATCTATTCCCAGTCCCTTTCTTCCTTGCCTGCATCTACAACACAGGCTTGGAAAGTCAAATACATACTTAGTCACCCTTGGAGCTCAAGGTAGCTATAGGACAGCAACACACTTATGACTAATGATACCTAAAAGGAAGACTGCTGAGGGGATTTTAACAGAGTTATTCTTTCCTGAAGTAAATATAGACATTGCTAATGCTGTCAAGTGCACCCAAGTTTCTGCCTTGAATGCATACATGATACTTGGGGCTCTAATAACCACCTTGCAGCTGAGTAATTGGCAGAAATGAAAATGAAAATCCAACAGGTTGAGGATGGATGGCAGTGCAGGAAGAGACTCTGGACTTTTGATAGCACCAATAAACAAATGCTAGCAACCATCTACCTCTGGACTTATTGTTATATGAGAAAAACAGAACTTTATTTGTATAAGTTAGTTGGGGTTTCTATTACTTGCCCCCAAAATCATTCTTAATTGATGCAGAGTTTATGAAAGAACTTCAGAAGCCAAAAAATGATTTATAAAAACAATGACTTTTGGAGAAAGAGAGTTACATGATTTCAGTTTTATTTTTATAGCAGGGTGAAAATAAACTAGAGAGAAAATTGTGTAAGGAATGATACTGAGGTAGTAATGACAAGGATCCAGGAACTAGACCTAACTGGTGTGTCTCGGTGGGTTGGGCGTCATCCTATGAAGACAATGGTCATGGTTTGATTCTTGGTCTGGGCACATGCCTGGGTTGTGGGTTTGGTCCCCAATCAGAGCACATTTGAGGGGCAACTGATCAACGTTTCTCTCTCACATTGATGTTTTCCTCCCTCTCTTCACTCTCTCAAAAAAAGTAAAAGAATACATTTAGCATAATATCCTCCAGTTCCATCCATGCTGTTGCAAAAGATAGAAGTTCCTTTTTTCTTTCTGCTGTGAAGTGTACCATGAAAATGTACCATGTTTTTTTTTTGATCCACTCATCTACTGATGGGCGCTTAGGCTGTTTCCAGCACTTGGCTATTGTAAATACTGTTGCTATGAACATAGGGGTGCATGAGTTCTTTTGAATTGGCGATTCATAATTCTTAGGGTGTATTCCCAGCAGTGAAAGCACTGGATCAAAAGGCAGTTCCATTTTTAGTTTTTGGAGGAAATTCCAAGCTGCTTTCCACAGTGGCTGCACCATTCTGCATTCTCACTAACAGTGCACTAGGGTTCCCTTTTCTCCACATCCTAACCAGCTCTTGTTGAAATAAGCCAGCTGGTGAAAGAAAAATACGATATGATTTCACCTGTAAGAGGAATCTAATGAATAAAATAGAAGCACAGGTCTGGAAATGTGGAGTAGACTGATAGTGACCAGAGGGGAGGGGGACAATGGTGGAAAGGAGGGTAGGGTACTAGACAAAAGTCATGTATGAATGACTCATGGACATGGACAACAGTGTGGGAATTGACTGTGGGAGTTGGGGGTGGGATGGGCAGAGGGCAAAAGGGGAAAAATTGGGACAACTGTAATGGAATAAAAATAAAAAATCTTAAAAAATAAGAAAGTAAAAATAAAAAATAATCCAGGCAATAAACATTGAAGGCAATGTGGCAGTAAGGACAAAGAGCAAGAGACAGATACCAATGATAACATAGAGGGAAAACTGATATGATGTGGTAACTGATCAAACCTTGGGGAAATATGCAGGAGTGAGTGATTAAAGATGTTTTACAAATTTTTAGCCATAGTGAGTGAGGGGATAGTGAGACATAAACCTACATTCATAACATAGGAACATATTCATATTCATATAACTTTAAAGAGAAAGATAATGAGTTTAGTTTTGGACATACAGACTTTGAATTGCCTGAATCACACCTAGTAGAGGTCCTATAGATAGTTGAAAATATACTTTTGTTTTTTTCTCCAAGTATGATATCTTTTATTACCTGTAGCCACACATCAGCATACAGGTGTGAGGTGAAGCCATGGGAGTGTGTGGGATCACTCATGAGGAGCAGGTACAATATAGGAGAAAATGGCTAGAAATGAGAACTTGGGTGAGGGGGATGATTACTTTTAAGTATTGCATGAAAATGGGAGTCAGTGGAAAAGAGACTAAGAAGCATTGAATATTCAAAAATATTTGTTGAATGCCTACTATGTGCCAGACTCTGGGCTTGAGGCTCAGAGCGGTAGGAAGGAAAGCAAAAGAGTATAGTGCTGGCTAGGATGGGGATCAGGAGTGTCTGGTCAGTAGTGTCACATACTGCAGAAAAGTCAAGTGGGGTGAGAAATGAGGAATTCCTTTCCTCAATCACATTTATCTGAATTCTTTTAACGGGAGTTTTTTGCTAGCTGTAATAACCTGTCTGGAAGATAAATGCTAAATTAATTTGGGAACTGACTTGTAAAACTCTCAAGTGGTCTAAGTCATTTAAAAGAAGCTAAAATTCTATTACATGAGATTGAATTGTTTTCTGTAGGTGGTTGTGCAACCTTCTCCCCTAGAGATATATTAGTCAAATATTGTTTCTGTCCAGCTCCCCTTAGGAGCCAGAGTAGTGGTGTGTGAGAGCCGCACAACTCTACCAAGTCTCTCTGGTGCCTTATTCTGTGAATGTAAATTAGAGTTCTTTGCTCTGGTGCCCTATGCTGTGTGATATACACTTGATTCATGTGGTCCTTTTTTTTTTTTTTTTAACTTGTGTCATGAGTGTTACTTGTCTCTCTAAATACTGAAAGTTCCTCAATGGTAGAAATCATATCTTTTGCTTTTCTTTTTTTTTTTTTTTTGCCTCTGCTTCAATTACCACCTGTAAGCAGATGAGTCACATATTTGTATCTTCAGACCAGAACTCTGCTCTTATACATCTAGCTGTCAGCTTGACATATCCTCTTAGGTGGTTTCCAGAAATTTCAGTTGAAACAGGTCTTAAAAGTAACCATGCTTTTCTTCCTTTCTCTTTCTCTCTACCATCCTCTTCTTCCAAACTCAGCTCTCTTCCAATGTTCTCCCTCTCAGCTGATGACAACTTTATCGTGTTCAATGAGCCAGAAACCTGGAAGTCATCATTGACAAATTCCACTTTTTCACCCTCATATTTAGTCCTTTAGGGAGTCCCAGTCATTACTTCAATCTGCAAAATATGGCTGTATCTGCCCACTTCTCTTTATCACTGCTGTCACAGTTCTAGTTTGAGCGATTATCTTTTTTCACCTGGTCTGGACCATTGCAAGTTTCTTAATCAGTCTCTCTACTTTAACTTTCATCTCTCTCTCCAGTATGATATCCACCAAGGAGGTAGAGTGACTGTTTTGATATACAAATCTGAATATGCCACCCTTTGCACAAAATCATTAAATGATACACCATTTGTCTTAGAATAAAGAAAAAAATAATTTACTTAGCCTACAACCCAGAACAATTCCCAGGTTTTTAACTTGGGCTTTCACTTAATATAGAAGGCGTACTTTTTATAGTAAATCTAAACAGATTTTTGAAAGCTCCTTTAAGCACTGTATCCCATAGTTGTCTTTACTACACTGAACATAAGTTAACTTTTCCATAATGACTTGGTAGTTCTGGCATCTTCTCTCTTTCTGTTAACTTCACTTGTCAGTGTATCAGCTTCAAATGTCCTTCTTCTTGTCTTCCTTTTAATGTAATTTTGAATGGATGTGTGTGTATAATATACTTTATATAGCTAATATATCTATATAAATCTATCATCATCATTATCATCTATCTATAAATTGGCTTACATGATTGTGGAGGCTGCCTAAGCACATCTGAAATCTGCAGGGGAATTTCCTCGGGATTTCACAAATAGAATTTTTTTCTTCCTCAAGAAAATGTTAGTTTTGCTCTTCCAATTATTGATAATTGGACAAGCCCTATCCAGATTATCCACAGTAATCTCTTTTACATAAAGTCAACTGATCATAGATATTAACCACATCTACAAAATATCTTCACAGCAACACCTATATTAATATTTAATGGAATAACTAGGGACTGTTAGCTAGCCATTTTGACACATAAAACTATCATGCTTTTTAAATCTTTTTTTATTGTTGTTCAATTACAGTTGTCCCCATTTTTCTACCATTACTCTCCCCTGCCCTACCCACCCCCAACTCCCACCTTCAAACCTCTCCACCATTGTCTTTATCTGTGGGTCCTTTATACATATTTCTTGGCTTGATCCTTCCCCTTCTTTCCCCCGTTATCTCCCTTCCTCATCCCTCTGTCACTGTCAGTTTGTTCTTTTTTTTTTTAAGTATAACATTTTTATGTTTAGAATTAGCCAGCTGGACTCAGTTTAGATGATCCCAATTTTGTGGGCAACATCCAAAGCATCATAGTCTGGAGCCAGTTGAACATACACCTTCTCCCCATCAGGCCTGATCAGGGTGTTAACCTTGGCCACCTCAATGTCATACAGCTCCTTCACAGCATGTTTGACCTGGTGCTTGTTGGCCTTGACATCCACAATGAACACAAGTGTATTATTGTTTCTATCTTCTTCATGGCCGACTCGGTAGTCAGGGAGAACTTGATGGTAGCATAGTGGTCAAGCCTGTTTCTCCTGGGAGCGTGCTTATGAAGATATTTAGGCTGCCTTAGGAGTCGCAGTGTCTTAGGCCTCCGGAAGGTGGGAGATGTGCATATCTTCTTTTTTATTTTTTATTTTTTTGTGGCTGTGGATACCTTTTAGCACTGCTTTGTTTGCTTTCAAAGCCTTTGCCTTGGCTTTAGCTTTGGGAGGGGCAGGGGCTTCCTTCTTAGCTTTTGGCACCATCTTCATGAAAAGGTGGTTTGTTCTTTGTTTCCATGTCCCTGGTTATATTTTGCATACTTGTTTGCTTTGTTGATTGGGTTCCACTTATAGGTGAGATCACATGGTATTTGTCTTTCACTGTCTGGCTTATCTCATTTAGCCTAATATTCTCCAGTTCCATCCATGCTGTCACAAAAGATAAGAGTTTCTTCATTCTTTCTGCTGTATAGTATTCCATTGTGTAAATGTACCACAGTTTTTTGATCCACTCATTTACTGATGGACACTTAGGCTGTTTCCAGCATTTGGATATTGTAAATAACAGGGCTATGAACAATGCGGTGCATAGGTTCTTTTTAACTGGTGTTTTGGGATTTTTAGGGTATAATCCAGGCAGTGGAATTGCCAGGTCAAAAAGAGGTTACATTTTTAGTTTTTTGAGGAAATTCCATACGGTTTTCCACAGTGGCTGCACCAGTCTGCATTCCCAACAACTGTGTTCTAGGGTTCCCTTTTCTCCACAATTTCGCCAACACTTTGTTGATTTGTTTATGATGGCCATTCTGACTAGTGTGAATCCTAGTACCAGAAATGTAGCTATCTAATTTCATTTACAGCCTCTGCTTCAATTACCACCCATAAGAAGATGAGTCACATATTTGTATCTTCAGACCAGAACTCTGCTCTTATACATCTAGCTGTCAGCTTGACATATCCTCTTAGGTTGACATATCCTCTTAGATACCACCTCACAGTGTGAAGTGGTATCTCATTGTTGTTTTAATTTGCATTTCTCTGGTAGCTAGTGATGCTGAGCATCCTTTCATATGTCTCTGGGCCCTCTGTATGTCCTCCTTGGAGACATGTCTTTTCAGGTCTTTTGCCCATTTTTTTAAATTGGATTGTTTGTCTTCTGGTGTGGAGTTGTGTGAGTTCTTCATATATTTTGGAAATCAAACCCTTGTCCAAGGTATCACTGGCAAATATGTTCTCCCATGAGGTTGGTTCCCTTTTCATTTGGCTTATGTTTTCTTTAGCCATGCAGAAGCATTTTAATTTGATGAAGTCACGTTGTATATTCTTTCCTGTATGTCCCTTGCTCTAGGGGGCATATCTGTGAAAGCGTTGCTGCGTGGAATATCTGACATTTTCTTGCCTATGTTCTCCTCTAGGACTTTTATGGTGTCATGACTTATATTTAAATCTTTTATCCATCTTGAGTTTATTTTGCTGTATGGTGTAAGCTGGTGCTCGAGTTTCACTTTTTTTGCATGTAGCTGTCCAGGTCTCCCAACACCATTTGTTGAAGAGACTATTTTTCCTCCACTTTATGCTCCTGCCTCCTTTGTTGAATATTAATTGACCATAGAGACATGGGCTGATTTCTAGGCTCTCTGTTTTGTTCCATTGATCTATGTGTCTATTCTTATTCCAGTATCAGACTTTTTTATTTCAGTGGCCTTGTAATATAGTTTGATATCACATATTGTGATCCCTCCCACTTTGTTCTTCTTTCTCAAAATTGCTGAGGCTATTCAAGGTCATTTATATTTTCTTATAAATTTTTGAAATATTTGTTCTATGTCTGTGAAATGCAACATTAGTATTTTAATAGGAATTGCATTGAACCTATAGATTGCTTTGAGTAGTATGGACATTTTAATGATGTTAATTATTCCAATCCATGAACACAGTATAGGCTTCCATTTATTTGTATCTTCTTTAATTTCTTTCTTTAGTATTGTGTAGTTTTCTGAGTACAGGCATTTTATCTCCTTGGTTAAGTTTATTCCTAGGTACTTTATTTTTCTTGTTGCTATAGTTAATGGGATTTCCCCCCTAGTTTTTGTTTCTGGTGTTTCATTGTTGGTGTACAAAACTGTCTTCAGTTTCTGGATATTGACGTTTTTTTGTCACTATTCCCACTATTTTGCCAAATTCACCTATTAGGTAGAACAGTTTTTTGGTGGAGACTATACGATTTTCTATGTACACTATCTTGTCATTTGCAAATAATGAGTTTTACTACCTCCTTTCCAATTTGGATGCCTTTTATTTCTCTTCCTTGTCTGATTGCTGCAGCTAGATCTTCCAGTACTATGTTGGATAAGAGTGGAGAAAGCAGATTCTCTTGTCTTGTTCCTGATCTTAGGGTGAAAGCTTTTAGTCTTTGCCCATTGAGTATGATGGTGGCTGTAGGTTTCTTGTATATGACCTTTATTATGTTGAGGCTTTCTCCATCTATTCCCACTTTGCTGAATGTTTTTATCATAAATGGGTGCTGTACTTTAACAAATATTTTTCATTACTTATTGATATGATCATGTGATTTTTATCTTTCATTTCTTTAATGTGGTATATTATATTTATTGATTTGTAAATATTATACCATCCTTGCATCCCCAGGATGAATCCCACTTGATTATGGTGTATGATTTTTTTAATATATTGCTGGATCTGGTTTGCCAATATTTTGTTCAAGATTTTAGCATTTATGTTCATTACAGAAATTGGCCTATAGTTTTCTTTCTTTGTTGTGTCTTTTTAAAAAATTTATATTGTTCAAATACATTTGTCTCCACTTTCCTGCCACCACTTTCCCCTGCCCCTCCCACCTCCCTCCCTCAATCATTTCCCACTTTGGCTTTGACCATGGGTCCTCTACACATGTTCCTTGACTTGACCCTTCCCTTCCTGTTCCGTGCCCCCACTTCTTCCCTCTTGATTCTGTTGGTTTCTTTTTTCTTTCAATGTTGCTGGTTATATTTTCCTTGCTTGTTTGTTTTGTTGGTTAAGTTCCACTTATGGGTGAGATCATATGGTATTTGTCTTTTGCTCCCTGGCTTATTTCAACTTAGCATAATACTCTCCAGTTCCATCCATGCTGTCATGAAGGGTAGTAGCTCTTTCTTTTTGCTGCATTGTATTCCATTGTGTAAATGTACCATAGTCTTTTGGTGTTTCTTTATCTCGAATTAGGATAATGCTGGTCTCATAAAAAGTCTTTTGGAGTCTTCCCTCTTGTATTTTTTGGAATAGTCTGATAAGGATAGGGATAGCTGTTCATTGAATGTTTTCTAAAATTCTCCTGTGAAACTGTCCAGTCCAGGGTTTTTGTTGCTGGGAGTTTTTTGCTCATTGCTTCATTTTTCTCCAGCTGTTATGAGTCTATTCAGGCTTTCTGCTTCTTGATTCAGTTTTGGAAGATTTTATGTTTCTAGAAATTTATCCATTTCACTCAGGTTTTCAAATCTATTGGCATATATTTGATCTTAGTAACTTCTTACAATCCTTTTTATTTCTTGTTTTGGTTATAATCTCTCCTCTATCATTTCTGATTTTATTACTTTAGGTCTTCTCTCTTTTTTAAACAAAATACTTTATTTTTTCAAATATGTTTGTCTCCGCCTTCCCCCCACTCTTTATTCCTTTCTTTTTTTCACAGTTTTGTCATTTTCTTGTTTTTCTTCTTTTTTTTGAGTTCATTTTTTTAAATTTATTTTTTCCAATACATTTGTCTCTGCCTACCCCCACCACTTTCCCTTGCCCCCTCCCTCCTTCCCTCCTTCACCTCTTCCCCTTTGGTTTTGTCCATGAGTCTTTGGTATATGTTCCTTGACTTTTCCCTTACCTTCCTTTTCCCTACTCCCCTCCCTCCTTCCCTCTTGTCTCTGTTGATTTCTTTTCCTTTCAGTGTTGCGGGTATTATTTGCCTTGCATCTTTGTATTGTTGGTTAGGTTCGACTTGTAGGTGAGATCATATGGTATTTGTCTTTCACCCCATGACTTATTTCACTTAGCATAATGCTCTCTAGTTCCATCCATGCTCTCGTGAATTGTAGTAGTTCTTTTTTTCTTTCTGCTGCGTAAGTATTCCATTGTATATATGTACCATAACTTTTGATCCAGTCATCTACTGATGGGCATTTGGTTTGCTTCCAACACTTGGCTATTGTAAATTGTGCTGCGATGAACATTGCGGTGCATATGTTCTTTTGAATTGGTGTTTTGGTATTCTTAGGGTATAGTCCCAGCAGGGGAATCACTGGATCAAAGGGCAGTTCCATTTTCAGCTTTTTGAGGAAATTCCACAGTGCTTTCCACAGTGGCTGCACCAGTCTGCATTCCCACCAACAGTGTACAAGGGTTCCCTTTTCTCCACAGCCTCGTCAGCGCCTTTTGTTTGTGGATCTGTTTATGATGGCCATTCTGACCGGTGTGAGGTGGTACCTCATGGTGGTTTTGATCTGCATTTCTCTGATGGCTAGTGATGCTGAGCATCTTTTCAAATATCTCTGGGTCCTCTGTATCTCCTCCTTGGAAAGCATCTGCCCAGGTCCTTTGCCCATTTTTTGATTGGATCATTTCTCTACTTGGAGTGGAGTCGAGTGAGTTCTTTATATATCTTGGAGATCAAACCTCTATCTGATGTATCATTAGCGAATCTATTTTCCCATACGGTTGGCTCCCTTTTTATTTTGTTGATGTTTTCTTTAGCCATGTAGAAGCTTCTTATTTTGATGAGGTCCCACATGTTTACTCTTTCCTTTATGTCCCTTGCTTTAGGAGACATATCAGTGAAAAAATTGCTGCGTGGGATATCTGAAGAGTTTCCTGCCAATGTTCTCCTCTAGGACTTTTATGGTGTTGCGACTTACATTTAAGTCTTTTATCTATGTTGAGTTTATTTTTGTGTACATTGTCAGCTGATGATCCAATTAAAATTTTTTTCATGTAGCTGCCTAGCTCTCCCAACACCATTTGTTGAAGAGGCTATTATTGCTCCATTTTATGCTTCTTCCCCCTTTGTCAAATATTAGATGCCCATAGAGACCTGGGCTTATTTCTGGGATTTCTATTCTGTTCCACTGGTCTATGGATCTGTTCTTGTTCCAGTACCAGATTGTTTTGAGTATAGTGGCTTTGTCGTACAATTTAATGTCTGGTATTGTGATCCCTCCTACTATGTTTTTCTTTCTCAAAATTGCTGCGGGCTATTGGGGTTGATTTTGGATCCATAT